GCGATATGAAACATATCAGAAAAAGACAAGACTAATCTCCCAACTGAATAAATGGAAAATGGATGTGGCAAAGAAGATTACAAGTAGTCCTCAGCTTATGATCACAATTGAATTCAACATTTCTGTTATTGAGACATTTGTTAAATGACTTTTGCCCCCTTTTAAGACCTTTCTTGCCACAGTTGTTAAGTGAATCACTCCAGTTGATAAGTTAGTAATATGGCTTTTAAGTCAATCTGGCTTCCCCATTGATTTTGCTGGGCTGGGCTGGGCTCAAGTGTTCTTTATCTCAGTGTTTCTCAACCTTGACCCCTTGAAAATGGACAACTCCCAGAATTCCCCAGTCATCAAAGCTATCTGAGGAATTCTGGGAATTGAAGTCCACCCATCTTCAAGAGGTCATGGTTGAAAAACACTGCTTTATCTGACTGTTGCCTTGCCAACGGGCCTCCTTCTTAGGGACCCGTACTGGCCCTATGAGAAGGAGAAAAAGATCCTCACATCCTGCATGAATCTACATACAGGTAGTCCCACTTACAACAGTTCCTTTAGTGACCGTTCAAAGTTAACAACAGCATTGAAAAAAGTGACCTATGACCGTTTTTCACTTATGACCATTGCAGCATCTCCATGGTCACATGATCAAAATTCAAATGCCTGGCAACTGACTCATATTTATGACAATTGAGGTGTCCCGGGGTCACTTGATCACCTTTTGCGACCTTCTGACAAACAAAGTCAATAGGGAAGCTAGATTCATTTAACAACAATTACTAACGTAACAACTGCAGTGATTCACTTAACAACTGTGGCAGGAAGGGTCATAAAATGGGGCAAAATTCACTTAACATTGTCTTGGTTAGCAACAGAAATTTTGGGCTCCATTGTGGTCGTAAGTCGAGGATGACCTGTATTTCCAGCTTCCCCCACTCCCTTGGTGGCCTTTTTTCCACACTAGAGATATTCTAAGCTTTTCTTGCGAGGCGGCTGAGGCGGCTGCTCCCCCCGGCCTCCTTCTTTGGCACTTCCTCCAGCTCTGCTGTACCCTTTCCCAAACATTGTGACCGGAATGGCAATTCCCCAAAGCCACGTTCTCGCTGCAAAGCATCTGGGCCTGCTTTCTTCCGGAGGCCTCCCCACTGAGGTCTCAGACATCGGAGGGGTCTTCGAACGCTCCCCGTTCACTTTCTGAGAAAAAGACTGAGTTCTGGACCACACCCCGGGACCTCACACACGTGTGGGGAATGGCGCGTCACCCGCTCACAGGTGTGTGTGGGGGGGACCCTGTTAGACAAGGGCCGCTGCGGGTGGGGGCAATGTGGCTTCCCCTTTGCCCTTTTGAGTTTCAGGATCTTTCCAGTCCTCATTTGCTCTCACAAAGTTGGCGCACAAGGGAGCATTTGGCCCAAGATCATCAGTCTTAGAACACTAAACACTTTTAATAGCTAAGACTTGCGTTATCACGAATGTGCCGAAAACAACAGCAGCTGCAACATATCGGAAAGCAAACAGACTTTTTCTCATGAGGTCCTTATTTAGAAAGAGACACAGACACGAGCCCATTAAGTGGGGACAATTATTCTCCCCCAACAGGGCTGCATCTTAAAAAGAGCTGAGGGAGGAAAGCAGGAAGAGAAGGAGGCAGGCACTGAGGGAAGCGAAATCGGCAGGGCACCCACCGGGGCCTGAGGAGAAATGGCATTCATCGCCTGCTGAAGGCAGGGAGCCCAGAAGCCAGCGGGGCTTTCATTGCCCCATTCTGCAGCGCGTGGCACGCAGGAGCAGGTGGTGCTCCTCGGAGCTCCTCGCTTGCTCGCGGCTCACGCGCCCAAGAAGAGAAGCTCATAGTCCTCATGACTGGAGGCAGGGAGCTTCGAGGGTGAGCGGGGCATATGTTAGGAAAAACACCGGAGGCTGGGAGAGCAAATGGAACAGAAGAGCGGCCACGAGAAGTCTCTGGACTTGTTTACGCAGGCAAATTTTGGGAAATAACAGCGCCTGCCTTGGGGGTTGGTAGTCTGGAGGTGGGAGATTTTAGATGGGGCTAAGCGTGGGGTTCCTCGTGCAGGAGATGAAGCATGAAGCTATCCCTTTGTGATCATCTTTGGAATTATACCAATGCGGCATGGTCTAAGTTCTCTCTCTCTCATGCATGCACACACGAACACACATACACACTCCCTCCCGCTTGATTTCTGCAGCATCAACGGTGCACGTTCTCCATTCCAGGCCTACAACCACAGAAAGCATTGACATCTGATCTTGGGATGCTGAACTCTGTCTGGAAGGGCAGCTGCCCCTTCAGAAGTCAACAATAGTTGAACAGTAATTTGCACTTATAAACTTGCTGAATCTGTTTTAAAGACTGAAGTCGTGAAGTTGCCCTGTCAGAAAAGAGCATTTGTTCTGTCTATGCAGATTCTCAGTCATCCAAGTCGTGGTTGTCCCAAAGGTGCTTTTTCAAAAAAGCAACTGGACTTTGTTTTTCCTTGAAGACATTTCATTTCTCATCCAAGACGCTTCTTCAGTTTCTGAACTGGAGAAGCTTCTTGGATGAGAAGTGAAACGTCTTCAAGGAAAAACGAAGTCCAGTTGTCTTTTGAAAAAGCACCTTTGGGACAGTATTTGTTCCGGTTGGTTGTATTTGAAATATATCATTTCTCTGCTGCACTTTCTCCACCGTTCTGCTCTCTGTCCCAGCCCAGACTCTATTGCATTACACAGGTCTTGGTTTATTTCATGGGAGGCCCTGTGAGCAGCATAAGCTCTGACTTAACAGGAAAAACCCTGGAATTCAAATGCAGCGGCTCATCGCAAGTAGGCCATCTGCCCTCCAGGCTCCTACATGGCGACTCTTCTGTGTAGAGCACTGGATTTCAGCAGCTTTGGGAGAATCTCTAGTTTGGACCCCTGTTATAAAAGCAAATCAGCAGCCAACCATCTTTTTTAACGTACTAACATATTTATGACCTCCCTTCCAACTGAAAATTATATTATTCTTTGGACTCACCCAATCCATTCTTTCCTGCTTAAAAAAGCTGTATATGATGAGCAAGAGTCAAGGAGACAATAACTGACTGAATCCTTAAAGGTGTCTTGTCTATGTCTTCAAATCATAACAAGTGAACTTAACTTCACAGTTCGCATGAACTCAAAGATCTATTGGATTCATATCAGATACGAATGTTAACAGCAAAGCTTATCAACTGAAACTCCTTCATGGCATTCAGGAGTCTCTAAAATCGTGCAAGTGGTTTCTGTACTGAAGATGTTATCTAGTTTGGTAATGAAATGTCTGCAAGAAAACCACCAAGCTCAGAGAGCACCAAAACCCCACAGTACAATATACTGTTATGAGATTGTCATGGACATTTTGAAGTTCTAAGATAGATTTGGCTAGATAATTTTCTTAAGCATACGAGGATCACTATTCATCAACTTTACAAGCTCATTCAGGATGGATGTTGAATCCATCATGTTTCAAGAATTTGGGTAACATCTGAGATCTGGTCTGTGTCTCAAAATACAACCCAACTCCTCTGCGCAGGGTCCTCCGTTTTATTCAGGAGTAACTGCTTCAAGATATGCCCCTCCCCTCCTTTGTTCCCCAGATCCTGTCACCTTGCACTCACAACAAACAAAAGCCTCTCACTCGAGTAATGATTTTTTCTCTGGATCCCTCATCTTGCCTCCAGTGGCTTCAATAACCTCCTCCTGCAGCTCGCTGCAATTCCCCCAGTTTCTTCCAGATTCCATTCACTGGTTTTCCCAGGTCCCTGGGCTGCATCCTCCTTCCCATTCACCCCCCACACACAGTCCCCCTTTTTCCTTCTCCGGTAAAGACTTGGTGAGAGCCGAAAGGAGCCCCAGCCAGTCCTGCCCGATTCCTTCCCTTTCCCCGCCACAGAGGGCTTGGAGCAGCAAGGGGAAAGGTCCACTGAGGGGGGGGGGAGCTCTCATGCCTGACCTCTGTCCGCAGTTAAAGCAGAAACTGAGGGGTTCGCTGAGTAGGAGAGGAAAGGAGGCCCTTCCGCCACTCCCTGTATCTCGAAAGAGGCACATCCAGCCCTTTGCTACCCCGTCTCCTCTCTGAAACGCAGGGGCCGTCCGTGGTCACCCAGGGGTCTATGGCACGGCCAACTTGTCGCACGAAAACTTACCAAAGGACAATTCAATGCTGTATTAATTCTTTCGTTCAGGTACTTTTATTATTGGTGAACACGTTTTTGTTGAAATTATTGTAACTCTTCTATTTCTGGATTGACTATATTATCATTATTGGCCACAGTTCTGTCGAAATTAATTTAACTTTTATATTTGTTGAATTGCCTCGTGGTGAGTTGTCCCGTGGCTAGTTGGCCAGGGCGAGCTGGCTGCGGCAAGTTGACCGTGGGGAGTTGGCCAGGGCGAGGTGTCCCATTTCGGTCACCCAGGGCAGCTGATGGGCATTTGCCCTTGTGCTGAAGCATCTTGAAGGTCCTGTAGGAAACCTCCAGACTGGGATTAAATGGATCCAGATTTTGCAAAAGAGACATGTCAACAACCATTTTCTCCCCCAACCAAACTCCAACAAGACACCTCCTTTCAATGTGTTCTTGTTTACAATTCAACTCTGACCCCCATTAATGGGGCTCCCTTTTTGCACACCTCACGAAGCCAAATCGGAGCTTGCCTTTCTTTGCATTGCCTCGTCTGGCAAGGCGGAGAGGCGGTCAATTAACTCAGGGGTTCCGCGGTCTCCCTTTTCCAGGAGAGGGAAGAAAAAGAGAGAGATTTTCCTGAAAACAGCCTCATTTCCCCAAGAATTCAATAGGAAGACTCAGAAAATGGCACAAAGCAGAACAAGGCCGAGCGGAGCCCGACGGCTCAGAGCCGCACAAGGCAACTTGTCTCGCTGTTGAGGACGTCGGGCCATTGTGCTTCATTAGGAAACAAAATATAAGCTTTCCAGTCCATTAGGGATGACTTTAGGAGTGAAAGCACATAAGACAGCGACTCACCTCATCAACAATGCACTGGAGTAACTGGAGAGGCTGTGATGGAAAGGGGTGGGGGACAGGGGAGAAAAGTATTAGGCTATATGCAATATCTTTACATGGAGTGGAAAGGAAAAATCATTAATGCAATAAAATATAGCAAGATTAATCAACAGCAGCAAACTCTTATAAAAACATCGTGGCTCAGGATGTCCTATTATTTCTAATGGTACCTAATCTAATACAGGCAGTTAAAGGTTTGCTTTTTCCGCAAAATGCAATTTGCTAAGTTTAAAACAAGGCATTCAAGCATGCGAAGGAAGCAGCCATCAGGAAAAAGAAAAGTGAATTTTTTTCCCAAACTCATAAAGCTTACCATTAAAGATCCCTGGTTTTTCTGAATCTGAAAAAGGGGGAGAAAAGGGGAGGCAATATGTAATTAGCATGTCATAATCAAAATGACTCACTTGGACACATTATGATCACTGAGAGAAAATTATTGTATCGCTGGTGGCAATTTGTGGGCATGTGTTAACACAATTTACATAATGAAAATACACAAATGTTAATAGCTCGCTTCTCATTTATAGGCGAAAGTCAGCAGAATGTTAATTTCACACAACACTTTTTAGTACCCTCCAGGTTGTATTAGAATAGGGAGAAAAAGCATAATCCATTTCAAAAGGCTGTTTACGATTCAGATATAAATAATGTTTTATATTGCTAGATTGTGAGCACTGCGCTTAATGTTGCAATCATTGCTAATGTTATGAAGCTCACTCTTTTTAAATTAAAAACCGATTTATTTAAAATTGAAATTAAATCATAGTCAGAAATTAGAATTTTGGATTACTGCCAGGGTCTGCTCATAATCCCCTCTCTCTTTTTTTTTAAGAAAACTTTAATTATGTAGCTGAACTATCTGCCTGTACTTGGTGAATACTAGTTGATGCTTCACTTTTGATAGTTTACTACATGCCCTCAAACCCCATAGCTACTTTCCATATACCTACTTTAGGTTTGAAAAGTGCCTGTCTTTTGGACATTCCCATATTCCCAATGACCTTGATGGGCGCCTGCAAGACTCAAGCTGAGAGTTGAACAGAAATGGTATAAGGTCTCCTGCTTGAGCAGGAGGTTGGACTAGAAGACCTCCAAGGTCCCTTCCAACTCTATTATCCTATGTTCCATGAACGAATCAAATCAGTTCAGCAATCTGGGCTTGGTAACCTGCTCAGAAAGTCAGTTTCGTGCGTAGGAGACCCACGGATGGACCAAGAAACCTGAAGGTGTCCTTTCCTGGATGACGTCCCTGTTAGCTGCCAGTAATCCATCCAACCTTTTGCACAGATCAACACATCCCCTCAGTTTTATAGTATGCTATTTGACATCCCTTTATTTATTTACTAAAATTTATAATCTACCCCATACCAAGGGGAGTTTTACTTAAAAAAATGTTTCTCTAAAAGGTCCAAACTAAGTAACAAAAATGCTGTGAAGTCACAAAGCATACTTAAAAACATTTCTGGGATACATGGAAATGCACAAACTTATTTTTCTTGCAATGGTTGACCCTTCCCATTCGATATTCCCAGCTCAGCAATGTCAGAAATGATGAATGGCTGGTATGCTGACCATCGGCTTTGTAGGTTCTTTCTTCCCAATTTGCTGGAGGCTTTCTCTCTTAAGTAAAAGTTCGCCCAGGTAACGATGCACCACAAAACCCAGACCAAATCCATATCTGTGCATACACACACCCCACAAGAGAGCGGGAGGACAGATTCGGAAAAAGAGATTTCTGTTGCACTTGTAGGTGTAGGCTTCAACCTACCACCATTCATTTAAGCAACTGAAGTTAAGACAGCGCTGAAAAAAGTGACTCGTGAAGGGTTCCCATGGTCATGTGATCCTAATTTAGACACGTGGCAACTGGTATGCATTTACTTTTTTTCCTACTAATTTTATTAAGAAATATATTAAGCAGGTTAAACTAATACGAGAACTTAATACAGAAATACATAAAAAGAAGAAAATGTAGGGAAAAAAATCCCCCAAGGATGTAGTAAGAAAAAGAATCTTCCTCTTTCATCCCCAGCAAGAATATTCAATGATAAGAACTTATCACTGTCTCTTAAAATATAACCAAATACTTCTTCATTCCATATGTCACCCCATTTCCTATAAACTTATTTCTAAATCTTCAGCTCTCCTTATTAATCAGAAGTCCAGTAAAAATTAAGAGATACATACCAACATATATAATCTCCATTTCCATTTAATCTAAATCCTGCTCATCCCTCTTTAATAATCAAAACCTAATCCCAATTAATAATTAAGCATTGTAAAAAATTAAACACTATTAAACATTACCAGAATTAGTAACCCTTACTTACCTATCAAAAATAATAACATAGATATTGCAAGCTAAGCCATTATACCCAGTTAAACATTAAAAAATAAGCTATCCAATCAATTAAGCATCACCAGAGATAGCAAATTGTTATTTATCCATAATCAAATAAAGCAACTTTATACTTTTCTTATTCTTCCTCCTGGCTATCCTTAAGTCCCATAGATAAAATTCTAATTCCTGTTTTCTTCTACTATCTTTATCTCCTTTCTCAAAATTCTTGTTATCCCTTATCCATTTGTAACTTCTGTGTAGTAGCTCCAATACGTTCAATTTCAAAGGGCAATCCATATTACTCCTTCGATACATTATTTATATATTTTGTCTGCCATGTATTTCCCTCCCGGGGTCACCTGATCACCCTCTGGGACTTTCCCAGCTGGATTCTGACTTAATGGAGCCCCCCAAAAGTCATAAAATCAGGCACAGTCATGCGAGGACTCACAACTGCATTACTTAGTGACGGAGGTTCCAGTCCCAATTGTGGTCCTACATCAAGGACTACCTGTATGGTGATTCCCAGCAAAGAAACCAGTCTACGTAACCTTCAGAGCAGATGGGAATGCTGGGAGCTGCAGTCTTAACATCTCCAGCCAAGTTAGGGAAGCCTAGACAAGTAGCCTTCAACTTCGGACCACAATTGAGCCCAATTGGCTGGCGAAAGCAGGACATTTTGGATAGTTTCAACACTAAGAAGGAAGGATCCCATCTGGGATGCTCAGATAATTGAAGAAGAAGAGCTAAAACCCAGCAAAAGCATTTCATCAGGATAACTGAAGCAGTCAGTATAAAATATATGGCCAAAATGTGTGCCAGGAGGTTGGATGAAGAGAGAGAGTCAGCAGGCGTTAATGCAGGAGGCCCCAGGGCAGGGGTGTCAAACTGCCAGGCCCGCGGGCCGGTTTCATCCTGCTGAAGACGCACCCACCCCATTGCCGGCAATGCAAAAAGTCGCGATACGTTGTGACACATCACATCATGTGGCGAGTTTGACACCCGCTCCCCAGGGTATCTGGTGGGAGGGAGCATTCGGAGAGTAACCTGGCTTTCAACCAAAACACACAAACAATTCTATTCCTTGTCTGTTACATCTTTGCATTCCTGTAGAGTGAGACATCTATAGAAAGCAAGCTGTGGCCAAGTCAGGTTTCAGTAATAATTTACTGCACCTATTTCAACATTTTGCATTATAGCATGGGTCCCCAAACTTGGCAACTTTAAAGACTTGTGTACTTCACAATGCCGGCTGAGGAATTCTGGAAGTTGAAGTCTGTAAGTCTAAAAGTTGCCAAGTTCGGAGACCCCTGCGTTACAGCATCTGGAACTGGTTATTTTGGAATCCCCCAGTGCTGTCTTAATGCTGCAGAAAATGATGGGCTGGTTTCTCAATTACTTAGCAAGGAAGACTCAAAGTTGGTTGTCCATACAAGGAATGTCAATTGCTCCAAGCAGAGGCTGGGAGGGCTGACTCTTCATCTGCTAACTCTATTAAGGCATCTGATTGGAAGGACCATATTTCCCCCCTAAGCCTTTGCTGGCAAGGTGTTCAAACTCTGTTAGGTACATTGTTCAGTGCAGCACAACGTTGCTTACCTTCTCCAACCTACAAACCTGGAACATTTCACCAAACAAAACAGCCAACACAATCAATGAAGCATCTGGTTTTAGGATATACTGAGGATATTGTGTGGTAAGATTTTTCAATATAAGGTTCTAGAGTGGGAGGCTTCTCCTCTTTCTGCCACCATAAGCAACTAGTCTTGGGTTAGAATTAGGGAGGGATATTCTCTAGCAGGCTCAATATTCTGGCAGGCTCAATGGGGCCGTTCTTCGTAGCCTGTTTCCGGGGCGCTTCCTCTGCCGCTCTGCCTGCTCTGGTCTTCGGCTCAGCTTGTCTTCTCTGGGTCCCACTTGGTGGGAACAAGGCTGAGCCAAGCAGCAATTACTAGTACAACGTATATGAAATACTCAGAAAACTTTTAAACTTCTCTATGAATTCTCCTCTTCCTTATCACAATCTACTACAGTGCACAATCTGCTAGTGCTTGAATTACAACCATAATGGTTGTGATGATTATAAAATGGGTCACCACATGACTGGACCCAATTTTACAACCGTTTTGGAGGTGGTCGTTAAGCGAACCCATTGTTTACTATGGGGCAGTTCTTGGAAGAAACCAAATGTAAACACCCGTTTCCAGCAAAAATGTTGTCACGAGAGCAGGAGCCCCACAAATGGCTGTCAACCCAGGCCAGCTGTGGAGCACCCAAAATGCAGTCATGTGATCAGGAGGAGAGGTTAGAATTTCAGAACTGGGTTGTAAGTAGCTTGTGGGTGTCCATCATAACTTCGGTCACTAAGCAACTGGTCATAAGTCAAAGACTATCTGTACTTTTGTTTTTAACTCTGGGAGAAGACTGCACCGATTCAGTGTATGAATAACATACAGAGCGAGGCTTGAAACAGTATATTCTATAGATTCCCTGGAATGCTCAATAAAACACATTCATATTTATATCCAGAAGAAAGTGTCTGTGGAGATTCTCAGTCATCCAGGTCATGGCTGTCTCAAAGGTGCTTTTTCAAAAGGCAACTGGACTTTCTTTTTCCTGAAGAGGTTTCACTTCTCATCCATTCAAGAAGCTTCTGGGGTGAGAAGTGAAACGTCTTCAAGGAAAAACGAAGTCCAGTTGCCTTTTGAAAAAGCAGCTTTGGGATATCCAGAAGGCTGAGAGGGAAAACTGGTTAAAAATGCCAGAGGTTTCTGATGTTTCATGTAATAGTTAATTCATTTTGCAAAATATATGCTTGATCTGCATCCAATTCTAGTTCTTTATTTCTTCTTCTGTTATTCTTCCTTGAATAACCAAAAACAAAAAGCCATTTTCTTCAGTCAAGAGACTCTAAAACAGGGGTCTTCAAACCTGGCCCTTTTACGACTTGTGGACTTCAACTCCCAGAATTCCTCAGCCAGGCATGCTGGGTGAGGAAT